AGGTTCATAGGTGGTAGGGGTTCGATCTGTAGACCTGTCGAGCGGAGGTCTTAGCAAGTTCTAGAAGTCGTAGCTGTAGCCCTTCTGAAAGGTCAAGTTATAGCTGCTACAGTCCTGAAAGGTCAAGTTCGTATCTGCTACAGTGTCGAAGGGCCAAGTCCACAGACTTCCGGAAGGTCCGGAAGTGGCCCTTYCAAYGTTGCTCACAGTAGACTAGAGGCAAGTGGGCAAGTGGTGAAGTCCACCCTTGCTGAGTCAGCGGTACCCAGGCCCAGTCGCACCTAGTCCAGTCAGCAAGTACCATATGCGACGGTGTGCACCAGGGGCCCGGTGGAAAGAGGCAGACCAGCGACTTCCAGGAGTATAAATCAGGAGGCAGCGTCCAGCCATTCATTCATTTGCTGTGTAAGCCATGCGGAAGCGCTGTCTGAGCGACTTGTGCGAGGTGGTCTGCAGTGCGCCCGAAGACGAAGGGGGCTGAAGGAGATAGTTAGCCATAGTGTTGCAGGCACACAGGCCCCATTTGAGGGGCCCAACGATTGCTGAGGGGCCCCCAGGCCACGTACCATACAGCACGCGCCCTGGAGGCCCTTCAGGCCCTAGGTAGCACACTAGTTAGAAAGGTTTAGTTTACTTACCTTTTGTGTGTGTGTGCTGCCTTACTTTGTCTGTTCAGGTGCTGTGTCGGACTTGCAGCCCCAAGGCCGGACCTTTGGACTGGGTACACCGGAAGCAGGCCCGAAACGAGGCCAGGCACATTTTGGCGCCAGACCGGAAGGTACAGGCGTCGTTTTGGTCCTGCAGGTCCCAAGGCGACGCCTTGGGCTAGGTGCACAGGTACCGGGCCGTTTTTAGGCCAGGCGCATTTCTGCGCCTTGCTGCATCAGCAGCATGGTCTGGATGTACGGTAGGGACCCAGACCGGCTGGGCCGTTTTCTGAGGCCAGCATCAGGTAGGCCCAGCCCGCCCAGCGCCACAAATAGCTGGGCAGCGGCTGGGCAAGGACAGTTCGAGTAGCTCACTTCTGGAGCGACACGCTGCTGGTTGAGGGCAGCGCTATTCTGGCGCTGCGTTGCGGACTAGGAGGCAGAGAGAGGCGGAGGCCTTACCTGCAAACGGTGAGCTTACCGGGCGCCATAGCCGGCCTCCACGCGGTACCTGCACACGACGACGACCACAGTCAGTACGGTGACAGCTACCTGCAGGTGAGAGAGCAAGGAGGACATCATCTTCTTCTTCTTCCTCCTCCATATCTCTCTCTCCCTTTTTCTTCTTCCTCCTTCCTCCTCCTTCTTATCTCTTCTTCACATACGAGAGTGAGAGGGGTTGTCGGTAGGAGATACAGGCAGAGGTTATGTTGGGCACATTGCCCAGGATCTGATTCGACATTTCTGGGACAGACATTGATTGGACACTCGGCAAGGGACTATTTTTGGGACTTCACTATCGCGATCTTGGTCTACTCCCTCGCCGCCTTCTCCTTCGTCTCGTCCCTTCCCCCCATCTCTCATCCCTGGCATCTCCCCATGTATGTGTGTGAAGGAGGGACCTTTCTTCTGTGATTGCGGTCCCTCCTCTCCTCTCGCATGTGTGATGTATGATGGATGTCGGGTCAGTCCAGATCAGATCAGATCTTCTCTTTAAAAGTTTTCCGCTGCGCCACTTTGTGCCATCTTGTAGTATCGGGATGTACATTGCTTGTTGATGCTACGCTGACCTTGCATTGTCCATTTCAGTCCTTTTCATCACATTGCGGATCCTTGGCTCCCTACGCATTGTCCCATTGGGCATGCGTCACATAGCCATAGAGGGTCAGCGGCCATAGCCGCCATAGCTGATAGGCGAGTGTGTGTGTGTACGAGAGGGTGTGTATGCGTGTGGGATATCCAGGGTGATCCAGAGTTGAGTGCGTGCGAAGAGTGGTGCTGAACAGAGAGACGAGAGTTGGGGTGTACAGGTGCTGATGCGCCATAGCCTGTTGAACCGAGATTGTTTCTGAACTGTGTTTTCGACCCCCATATCTTTGAGCTTTGAGTGGGTGCTGTGCGCCAGTGTGACTCACCATCTGTTTGCATGAGTGCGCAGTGGAAAAGAAAGTGAGTCTGATTGCAAACATCGGAGTGGCCATAAAACAAAAACATGTGACCTGATATCCCTAAAACACACTGCAAATGTAAGCACTGACTTAGTAAGTTGGAGCAAAGGAAAAAGAGAGGGGTTTTGAGAAGGGTTTCAGGTAAATTACCATGTCAAGGAAACCTGGATGTCCCAAAGACTGCATCAGAACACGTTGTCCATTCCTTGAGGCAGAGGCATTGAGCAGAATTTTTAGCACAGCGTCAACCTTTTCCCAATCCTTCATCTTCAGGCCTCTTTGCAACTCTTGCATACAAGTCACGCTGAGAAATCTGCCTCTCAGAAACAATTGGCCTGCAGTGGCTTCCATAACCAAGACACGAAGAAGACTGGTTGCCAGTTGATGTTGAGGGGCCCTGCAAATGCTACCCCTCTCCAGAAGTGATACAACCCTCGATGCAATTGAGCAGCAACTGCCTTTCTGACCTCCCCATCCACTCTCAGAAGTCTCCTCTCCTTCAAGAGCAATCATCCTTGCACCTTTCACACTTGCGGATGCCAGATTGCACAAAAAAGCCAAGACTTCATGAAACAAGTTCTCTTCACTGAGTATGAAATCCCAGATAGATCGTATAAAGCATATGATCCCAGACGCCAACACCTTCTCTGCAGCTATCTGACTGCGATGAACAAGATGCCTGAAGAGTGTCATGGCAGATAACATGAGAAGAAGGAACATTTGCGAGTGCTGATAACGAAGTTTACTGGAGTACATTGCAGCAGAAGCAGCAGCATCCCGCGATACTTCCGTCAATGTCCCATGACGTCGCTCCGGTCTTCTATCAGTGCCCGGCATAAGGTCACAGATTTCCACCACCTTCGAACAAATTGGATTCCTATCACCTGTTCTTTTCGGCTGCAAATGTGTCGTTCCATTCTCGAAAGGGCTAAACGCAACCTGAGTTGACACTTTCCTGGGAACCTTGTTTCCTGTCTTTGGCTTGTAAATGAATGTCATCGCGTGAGTCTGCCTAGCAAAATCATCGAGCGTGTGCCGTGATCCGGTTGCCACACACTGGAGTTCATTCAGTTCCAGGAAAGAGTAGCTTTCACTGGCTGATCTCAGGAGTATCTTCGGCAGGTCCGACAGGATGGAGAGTTGCTTTGCAGCATGGCTTCCCACACATGAAACGACAAACATGCACATGATAAGGGCCTCCTGAGGTGCAAGAGAGACTGAATTGACTGTATCTACCTAGTTCTAATCCAGGGACTGGTCACATGGCCCAAATAGAAGGGCAGTCATGGGGTGAGAAGAGGCTTCAGAGGTTCAAGAACCTGGATAGACTGGAAATAAGTATATGGGCCACAGACATTTGGTTCAGGTTCACAAAACAATTGTTCAAAGAGATTGCTGGTAATGAGCAACCCGACTGCTGGCCCCCAGAATAGATGGGGCCTGTGTGTGTGGTTGTGTTAAAAAAACGGAAATAAGTATATGGTCAGCATGGACAGCAGTAAAACAAAAGACAAACAGAGATGGAATAAGAAGCTTCATAGGCGGTTTTTTCTGTGTTAAACTCCGGACCGTCCGGTGGCCTGGCCTTCGTCCGGCAGGGGTCCCGGGCGGCCCGGCCGGTTGGGTCCCCCGGTTTGGGGCCGGGCGAGGCCAGGGCAATTTTGTGCAGGGGGGGGGGGGGGCTTTTTTGGCTACTGGTCGCCTCCCCAGCCTCCGGCGACACCAGGTAATTTTTTTTTTTTGACTCTAAGACAATGTACAAGTAGTTTGAGGGGGGCGAGTGAGGTTTTCGGCTGAGATTAGCCACCAACAAATTGTTTCCCCCTCTCGCGGGCTACGATGCCGCGTTCGAATTCGAATGTGGTATTCCCTGTTGCGAAGCCCGTCGTCGGTGCCGTTGCGAAGCCGCCCATCGTCGCTAGTAGCCCGCCCGTCGTCGCTGCGGTTGTGAAGCCCGCCCGTCTTCGTCGAGCTGTCCATCGTTGTCTCCATCGAGGTGCCTCATTGAGAAGCCCTCGTCGTCGCTGCCCGTGAAGCTGCTGTTGCCATCGTCGTGAAGCCTCCTCCACCTCTTTCCTTCCTCCTCTTCTTCTTCCTCTCCTCCTCCTCCTCCTCCTCCTCCTCCTTTCCTATTCTTGGAGGAGGAGGACAAGGCGAAAGGAGGAGGAAGAGGAGAGAAGAAGAAGAAGACGAGACGAGAAGGAGGAGGAGAAGAGGAGGAGGACCTGCGCGTTTTGTATGGCGATGACGAAAAACAAAATAAAATAGAGGAAGAGAGAGAGAGAGAGAGAGAGAGAGAGAGAGAGAGAGAGAGAGAGAGAGAGAGAGAGAGAGAGAGAGATACGAGGGGTTGTGAGATAAAGTCGCGCCGAAGTTTCATCGACTCAT